TCTATACAGATATGACACATGCTTCCCCCTCTCCTTGCAGCTTTTTGCTTCACCTGCAGCGTTTGTCTTCCAGATTTTTTTGCCTCTTTTCCTACTTTTCCTTATGAACTGAATTTCTTTCAGTGGTGTTCTCTGTACAAACTCGGCAGAAGTTACTCTGTGCCACGTGCACTATTCGGCTTGTGCCTCTACAGCACCTTGTTAAATGTTTATTTCCCAAGTATTACAATATTACCAAACCAAAAAGGGATTATTTTCAGCGTGCATTACCAGGACTCCTCTAGAAAAAGAGCAACCTGCAACTACTAGAATGGATGGACAGTATATGATCTCTACCAGAAGATACTCACAGTGCAAGCCTGTATTTCAGATAAACCTTTGATGGCAACATACCTCACATGCTGAAACCAAACCTGAATTCAGCACAGCAGAATAGCATAAAAACTACTCTCAGAAGGATTGTATCTTTCACTTACATTTGTCAGTAATTACTGTTGTGAACCAAACCTCTTTACATATTAGGAAAGCAAGGCATTACTTTTGGATCAAAGAAGTATTTTGTTCACTTCAACGCATACACAAATTGTCTTTACTGTTAGCATTAAAAGAAGTTATGACTGGCACTGAAGTGAGACCAGACTTCTCAGATGGTTTCAATGTCTGGGAAGAAAAGCTCAGTAGGTTCATAAATCCAATATATCTTTTTCATAATAAAACCTAGAGCAGCAATAATTGCAATATAGTTTTACAAGGCACCCTGAGAGGAATAAAAAAATAACTGCTCTATGCACCACAGCTAAATAAAGCAAAATTAGGTGTTTTTTTTTTTAAAAAGCCCATAAGGAATTCAAATTAACAGACTTTGTAAAGGATGCTAGCCAAAGACTTTTGAGGGAGACCCTAATTATTGGTTGCTTTGATTTCAGTGACCTTGCTTATCTTATCTTTCTAAGCACACATTTTACATGAGAAGGTTTCAAATGCCCAGACAGCGTAAAGGCTGCTTTGGGTGCAAGACTTAAAAAGAGCAAACTTCTGTAAGTTAAACTGAGTTGTTTTAGTGTATTTTTGCCGTGTTACTCCCCATTCCTCATAACACAAATCAGATCATTAAGCTCAGTACCTGTGTGATTTCAGTGGCAGAGACGAAAGGCCAAGACTTCAGAGCTCCAAATAGCCTACAGAGGCAAGCCAAAGGTAGTGACGGTCGCAATGTGTCTGCTGCTGTTATGAAGTCTCCCTCCATTTACATAATTTCTACAATCTGACATTTCCCTCCAAGCATTTCTGGTGCCTCTTAAAGCTTTAAATTAGATTATGCCTTCCAGAGTATGCAAAACAGAAACAGTAGGTACAGGTACCAAACTACCCAGCCTTATGTAATTACTGTTCACAGTGATCAAGCAATCCCGGCAAGAAGCTGATGCTCAGCAAGGCAGCTGGAATCCACTAAATATGGTACAGGGAATTCTTCCAATACTTAGCAGTTACATATTGCTATATACTTTATGAAATGAAACAAAGCAACAAAAGTCAAATGTTTCAAAATATGGTAGGGTGAAGACTGAAATGTTTAGTCAATGTAAATCAAAGTATAAACATTCATATAGTGTTAAATGTCACAGACACTTCACCTCTCTAATTATTGCAATTTCCGCTCTTCTGTCCTTGCTGCCATCAAACTCCTAAGTTATATTTTGCATACAAAGCAAACAGAAAAGTCATCTGACAAGTACTATATGCTGTCAAATACAAGTGATTTTGGGGGCTGCTCCACCATAGCAGCCTTATCTTGCACCCACCAAAAGGTTTAAAGAGCCTGAATTTTAAAAAATCTTCAAGCATTTTTCTTAATTTACAGCCATGATTAATTTCAAAATATTTCTGCACTCATGAGTGATCTGGTGCAAATCTTACTACTTTTAGCTTTTCTGTAGAAGTCTGAACTGCAGCCTCCAGCAAATACTCAGATGTCTAAATCAGGGCCTGCAAAAACTTGCATACATGAATAAAAAAATGTATTCTCCAAAAAAAAGAAAAAAATACCCTGCAGAATCAAGACTATTTGGAAAATAGTCAATAGGTTTGTAAGATCCATCCTGCCCCGGTTCTCTTCTTTACCCTTCCTTCACTGACTTTCTCCTCATCTTTTCTACAGGCAGTCCTAATTCGACTACTGTCTCTCTGCTCATGGCTCAAAGATCCCCTTTATTCCCAGACCCATCATCTTCTGCCAAAGCTGAAATCTCAGTCTTCGTCCTACCTTTTCACCCCAATTTCAAAGAGATTAAAGCATGTTTCTCCCTCCAGAACCACATTTCTCTACCCTGAAGGACTTGCCACTTGCTCTGACGCTCCAGGCATCACATTTTGTTTGCATTTCTTTCTAGGTTTTCTCATCTAAGTGATTTAAAGGCCACATATACACAACATGGTGAACGCAGTGCTATGCTAATTCTGCTTTTCATTGGAGCAGCAGCAATCTGATCCATCTCTTTTCTTAAACCCATATAGTTGCATTGTTATGGAATGTTACCTATTTCAATTTAAGCTACCTCAAGAAGCAGATCCTATAAGGGCAGGCACAACTGATTGCTTTAAGTGACTGTCAGACACAAGCTGGACTAGGTGACCTGGGACCCTGTGCCAAGGAAGAGGCAGAGCGCAACCTTCTGCATCTGGTTGTCGAAGGTGCACCCTCAGAGAAGCTGCATAACACAGATAATCTGTCACATTACATCTCTTCTTCAGCCTCTCAGCATCTCACATTTGGAGTATACCATGTTCTCTAGCACTGCCCCCAGTTCTGCTCCCTTTCACCTTCACAGAATGCTGCAGCAGCTGCAGTACTCCTGCCTGCTCTAACCATGTCACCTCTGTCTATATGTCCCACCAGTGGCTTGCCCTTCTCTAGTACATCAAAGAACGGCTCACCCTCCTTTTCCAAGCCTTTCATAGCTCACTCCATTCAAAAGCAAAAGCTTGGCTCCCAGCTCTGCCTGTGCTGTGATGGGAGCTCATTGTTCAAACAAGCACTTTCTGTGTTTTTTTCCAGTGCTTCCCTTTTGTCATGAAGTAGCAGCCCAGGCATGAGAGGCTTCAATGGAGGCCCCAGCCATGGCAGTGCTCCTTGTCCTTGACTGTCCTTTGAGCCAGTCATGTTACTATCTCTGGAGGGTAGCTGCTCTTTTTTTTTTTTCTTTTCCTCTCCTGGAGATCTATATTGCTTATACAACACAGAGTAATTTGCTTGTCTTCTGTGTTTCAGGCAACTAACTTACAGATATTTAATCTACCCAGGAAATTTATAAAATTGCAGCCTCCCAAGAAAACAAAGTCATTATCCTGACACTTCATATTACTGTCATTCTACACATACTGCAACAAATAACTCCTCTACGTTTCCTCATTTGCATTAGAAATCCTCTTTAGCCAATACTGTTAATTTTGCTGGCAGTTTAAAATGGAAGCTGTTCTTCCCCTACACATCATTCTCTATTTTATCTGCTACAACTCTCTTTCAATCCCATTGGACATACCAAACACAACTGGTTTGATCATTTACCAACTAAGGGGTAGGTGGAAAGATCTTTCACAACTGCTCCCCTGTACCACCTGAAGTGCTGAGCTTCCTTCCAACATCTCAGACGCACCCATCACAAACATGTTGGTGTGGCCTACTAAGTATCCTGTACTCCATCTACTTCATCCTTCGCTTTTCCTTGCTGCATCTCTCATTGTTTTCTCAAACTTCCTCCATCTTTTGGTATTTCTTTTTCCCTTGGCCTCATTTGGTTGCCCAACAGTGCCCCAAGGGACACAAACAATATATAAAGATAACCATCCATTCCTGTGTGTTCCTCTTGCAACCCCAATATCATACAAACATATATCTACAAACATTGCGTCGGTATCACTGCTGTTCCATAACAACAGTGCGGATTTTGTGAAGTCATAAATCACAATCAGCATGAGGAGTATAAATCCAAGCATTCATAAGACTCCTTTTTACCTTTTCCACCCATTTGTGGCATGCATTGTAACATAGATTCATAGATTCATCGATTTCTAGGTTGGAAAAGACCTTATAGATCATCGAGTCCAACCATCCCTAATCCCCATTAAACCATATCCCCAAGTAGACACCAGGCATTTTATTTTTTCTATCTGCACAGCACATCCTGCAGTACGTAACGAGTGAAAAGTAACAATAATGCTTCTGCAGGGTTGTGCAGCTATAATGATGAAAGAAGAAAGGTTTACAGGGACAAGGAAAAAATTTTTATAGACAATTTTGGTATGGTAAAAAAAAAAAAAAAAAGACATACTTTTGGGTCCAATGTCCTTTCATCAGGTCCAAGAGGCTGAATAGACACTAGGGACCGTGCACTCCATTTAACATTTTTTAACTTAGTGTTAACCTTAAACCTGATTAGCGGATATGAACAACTAGATTCAACCTTGATTTAACCCAGATTAGCCACAAGAAGATGAATTTTTCTACACACAGCTCCAAGTTTCCAACCATCAGTCTTTCTGCTGACTAGTAACTGTCATTACTATAGCACATGTCTTTTTGTGGACACCTCATTCTTCATATATAATAACAAATCTCACAATTCAGTGTTTCTTTTATAGAGGGTCTCCACACATACAAGTGAGGAAATAGCAGTTAAAATGGTGACAGGGCTACCACTTTCCTTGAGCATACTTTCACCAGTTAAATGATGCTGGGTTCAAATTATCCAACTGATTAGCAAAAACAGTCCCATAAGTTTTCGAGGTTACTGTAGGAAGTATAGAGCATAATCTACTGATTACAGTGGATTACCATTTCTCTGCATCCTTAATTTGACTGTGGTAATCATAAAGCAGCTCTGCGATCATCTTTTTCATCAAAGAAGAGGGCAATGCAGAGTAGAAATCTTCAATTGAAAAAGGGAGACAAAGTTTTGTTTTCTATGAGTAAATCTATTTAAACAGTAGGAATGACTTCTGACCTTTAGCCTGCGGTCCTGGTCTCCACTGCACAGAGAATTTACAGATACTTTAAAGGTCTTCCAAGCGGGATTTAAGTTATTCATCACAACCTGTGAGTGAAAAGAAAGGAAGGGAACCCTTAACATTTGCACATCTCCAAAGAGAATGCTAACAAGAGCCACAGTTTTCAATACAGTACGTTCACCAGAAAGAGAAGAAAGCAGAGCTCAGCTGGAGGTTTGCAGAACAACGTGCATGGAGTACGTGCCCTTGAGCAACGAGCAGTTTGCAACACTCCTCCTCTGGAAAGCTCCAAAAAGGAGCACAGGTGGGAAATGGACCTGTACACAGAACATGGTACAGAGATTGCCCCAGAACTGACATGCCTCAGCAGTGGCATAACTCACAAGAGAAAGGTTGTGGAATACATCCCTGAACTGGAAGCCATGAACGAGATGCAGGACTAGGCAATGGGGATGGGCAGAACCAATTTACAGACACTGCCTTGCCAGGAAGACTTTAAGGGATCCATAGCAGACAGGCTCATAACCCGAAATACCTGCCACAGCCCCACCCTGTACACCTAAATGCTGCTTTTAAAGACAGCTCCAGTCATTACCATGGAAGCAGTAATGACACTGGGTCATATGAAACAAATGTAAAGCACCCAGATTACAAATATTTTTAGCACCAGCAACCTGGGAGGAGGTGGAGAAGATGCAACATAGTATTAACAGGAAAATATGATACTGTCTGTAGCATGGTTTGGGCTAAATATAGGACATATGACTCCTGACTTTCAAACAGAATATCTGCCAGTTCAATTAAATTTGGATCTTTGGCTTCAGTCAAGACCTGATACCCATTAGTCAATAATTACACAAGAGAAAGAAGTGTTTTTAAATGTGGGTGCTTGCGATACCCTTTGTGACACGAGAAGCATAAACTATTCCTCTTGACAGCCCACCTGTGTCCTTGGAAAGCAAATCCAACCCTACTCCTTACCTCAGTTCTGTGAACAAGTTGTTGGGTTGCATCATCATTCATCCGGAAAATCTCCAGAAAAGGATCAGATTTGCTGAAAAAATCCTAAAATAAAATATAGGACAGGTTACTCTTGAGAATACTTTTTCTTTGAGCTTTTCAGCCACAGTGCACTGGTGCTTCCCTGACTGCTAATGAAAAAGGAGAGCTACTGTGGATTTAGTGAGACCTCTTGGTGTCTCTCAGCAATATTTCATTCTTTTTCTTGTTCCACAAGGACTTCCACAGCACTGCTGTTGTTCTCAGTTTGACTATTCGATCACAGCAGGCAGAACTGTGAAATGTCATTTTACAGCCTTTTCCCTTCTTACATCCAGTCCAGATTTCTGAGCTTTAGCTCCTTTGAGCACCTAGCTTGTTTTGTTCTGTCTCCATAACTGTTTGGTCTTTTGACATCAGTGTTATCACACAAAGCCCTTTGCAGCATATTCCTCAGTGGGGTTGAATTTCACACTAATCGCCCACCCTCTCAAAACAGAAGTTAATCAGCCAAGACATTGTGCTGCTACCAGCTAACACAAGTATTGGCAAGATGGATTAGAGAAGGTCAGAAAAGTGAGTCCTCTTTAGGATGTGATAACACGGCCCATGTTAAGATGACAAATATAGCAGGAAATGCAGAAAATTGCTTGATATCTCTAAGTACAAGGAAATGTGACAGACATTGAGGTCCACATACTGCACCACAGAACAATTTCTGCTAGTCTTGCACCCAGCTAACAACCCTCAGCGTTCTTACACAAACCTAAATTAAGTTGCTTTTTATAGCGTTGCTGAAGTCTGCCACAGCCTCTCTTGTTTCAACATCTCATTTCTTCTGGACATGCTGGCTGGGGGTTGGAAGAGTAGCTGGGTATTAGCCCTCCACAGATGGAGGGGGAAAGCAGGCTAATTCAAATTTCTAACTGTGCAATGCTGCAAGAGCAGATTCAAATGGACTCAGCCCATTTTCTGTAGTTCCAACTCCCTTCCTCATTTTCCTCTTCAAAAGAATCACATGATTAACTTTACGCATACAAATACTATTTTTCTCTATAGGCTGTATCCAAAACCATAGACCTCCAGATCAATTTGGGGAAGTGAGGAATTCTGTTTTCTCTCCTGGTTTTCTATAAGAGTGTTAGTGTAAAAATGAGTGTAATATGCCTAGTTCTACAGTTTTCTCCTGACCGAATGCCCACTCTACTTACTTTTGACTAGCTGGATGGGATGAGAATGGCTTTGCATAAGATGTTAGCCAAAGTCTGGGCACATCAAAATTGGTAAAATTTGTCTTTAGGGCATTTTTACAATTCTATAACTGCAAAACAAGCAAAGAAATCAGGGCTTTGAAAAGGTATACCTGAATTTGAATGTCTAGAGAAGGGAGTCCCTAGGGACCACAAAGCCCTGGGCAAGGCTCAAGCAACCTAAAGTCTTTTCCATGCCCTAAAGATGACACCTATCAATGTTGTGTTCAGAGTGCGGTTCTGTGAATGATCTGTTTCTTTTCCTACTAGATAAAAGGTAATGATATGTTTAGAAACTGATGCAAAGCACATACTTATATATTTGTTTAATCTCATCATGTGGAGCTTTAAACAACAAAGCTGTATGTTTGCCTATTTGTTCCAATTACATGGTTACAGGACATTCAACGTAAAAGTATGCAGAACCAGCACGAAACCCAACAAAGTCTATAACCAGTTTGCCTGAAGGCCCTGATGTAGATTTACTATCTGGACTCCATTCAGCACTTGAAACTGCTAGTATATGGATGCTTTCGTGGTCAAATTCTGCCAGATTACTACTGCATAGCAAAGAGAACAAGCAGAGAGTGAGGGTGCTGGTTTAATCATAATGACACTAAAATCCAGAGTGCATAGGGTTAAAAAAGATTGAGCTGCCTCTTTGCACATGTAAGTACACTGATTGAAGCTGAGTAAAAGCTTAATGTTAACAGATTCTTTATCAAACACAAGTGTGATGAGAAAAGTTATCTGAAAGAAAACACCTCAAAATGATACATTCAAAGAACGCGCCTTGGAGTGCAGAAAAATTCAGAAGGGAAATCAGGATTGTGTGTAAGGCTCAAAATATCGTACCATTCCCAGCTGAGTATCATGAAAGCTGAGACGGCAAATCAGCACAAGGGAAGTAATTTTTAACATTTGTTTCCAACTACCAAGTCATCTAAAGAGAAAGATTTTAATGCTGGATGATAGCTTGTATCGCCTGTGGTGGTTTTGGCTGGGATAGAGTTAATTTTCTTCACAGTAGCTGGTATGGAGCTGTGTTTTGGATTTGTGCTGAAAACAGTGTTGGTAATGCAGAGATGTTTTCGTTACTGCCAAGCAGAGTTTTCACAGAGTCAAGGCCTTTGCTTCTTCTCATCCCACCCCACCAGCGAGTAGGCTGGTGGTGCACAAGATGTTGGGAGGGGACACAGCCAGGACAGCTGACCCCAACTGAACAAAGGGATATTCCATACCATAAGATGTCATGCTTGGCATATAAAGCTGGGGGAAGAAGAAGGAAAGGGAAGAATATTTGGAGTGATGGCGTTTGTCTTCCCAAGTAACTGTTACATGTGATGGAGCCCTGCTTTCCTGGAGATGGTTGAACACCTGCCTGCCCATGGGAAGCAGTGAATGAATTCCTTGCTTTGCTTTGCTTGCGTGCGTGGCTTTTGCTTTACCTATTAAACTGTCTTTATCTCAACCCATGAGTTTTCTCACTTTTTCTCTTCCGTTCTCTCCCCACCCCACTGAGGGGGGAGTGAGCAAGCGGCTGTGTGGGGCTGAGTTGCTGGCTGGGGTTAAACCATGACACCCACCCCCTTCAATGCAAAACCAAAGCCTAATTTCTTTCAGAATGAAAGTACAAACAAAAAGTCCTTCTATACCAAAGACGCTTCATAACAACTGAAAAATGATATGCTGAAGAAACATTTTATAGCTATTAACATTTTCAAAGCTTTTTGGTTGTTATGCTGAATCTAACAGCTTTGCATTATCTCACAAGAACAACCTCTGAAAGAAGAATGGCAGCAATAAAGGTTTAATGTTTTGATATATTAATAATGTTTAAATGATTAATGTAATGCATTTGCTAGTGGTATAATGCACACTGTTCTTTCAGCATGTGCAGCGGTTACACAGTAATAACACAAGTACATGGCTTAAACTTTAAAAAATTAACTACCTCCATTTCTGAGCACCAAGTTCGACACATCTTTTCGTACATTAATTTTCAGAGCATGTCACTTTTTAAAATTCAGGTTTGGGGGTCAAGTCAAAGGTCCCTCAAAAAAGGACTGAAGTAGTCAAAAGACAGTAATAATTTTGAAAATTCTTCAATAGAAGACCGGGCATTTAAGAATTAGTTTTTTTAGTAGTTTAGTATCAAAGAAATATATAAAAAAGCAATATTAGCTTGCATTTTGCAGATATTTGCTGGAAAATCTTTCCCAAGCAATGATAACTGCCTCTCTCAGAACAGGAAAAGCAGTTTGCCTGCCTCAGTGCTCATAATTTATTATAGCTATCATAAAAACGTAGCTGCTTGTTATGGTAATTGTGACACAGCTATTAATGCAATAGAACCTTTCCAAAAGTTATTGTTCCACTGTGAAGTGTTCTCAGTGGATCTCTTGAAACAAAGATATGCCATCTGAGCTGACTGAGCTTCAATAAAACATGAAAATGCAGTTATACCTTCCCAACAAGCACTGCAATAAAAAACATAACCTTTATCTCTGCAAAGTCAGTTAACTAAAGGAAACTTTCATATCTGTGACTTTCCTATAATTTTTTACTGAATGTTTCAGCCACTGCTCCAGAAAAAATTGAGTAGGCTTTACTTATTTTACGGTCTCTCTAAAACTCTTGCAGTTTTATGTGGGGGGAGTAAAAAAACCCAACAAACATATACTGCCTGTTAAATCAGACCAACAAATTTTGTTTAATCTGCTAAAAATGTGTTGTTCACACCTTTGTCCCTAGTGGAGGAAAATCCTATGTTTAAGGACCACAATCTGGATGCTTTTTCAAGGAATTTTCCTTTAAAGGGTGAAGGAAGAAAGTTCTTGTCCATTCAAGATATCACTGATGGTAATGGATGGAAAGAATTATTTTTTATCCTTGAAGCACATCCTGAACCTTTTCAACAACTTCCTTTGTTCCCAAGTTGTGAGACATTTGGATTCAACTTGTCATCTGCCACCCCCACAGCTATCAGTGCAGGAACCCCTGGGTCTACTAAAGCGACCCCGTGTAGCAGAAGTGGGAGCAATTGCTCCCGCAAGCTTCCTCTGTCTTTCAGAAGACTCTCAGGACTGCCCTCAGTTCCAGCCCTCAGTCTGCTCCTCTGATGTTACATCTCTACTCAGGTCTTCCCTCCTCTGAGTAGGGAGATGCGTGCAAAACCATGCTTGGGATTTAACAAGACAGGCACTTCTCAATTCTCTGATCATTCTGCTGGACCTGTATGTGACACCAGGGCACCCATGCTTTTTCACCAATGGCTGAACTATACAATTTAAGTAATTTCAAACCTTAATAACAATAATTACTAATAGCACCTTGCATCTACTGATGTCCAAGTTCATTGTAAGCCATACCAAAAGCCCTAGCCTTTTCTTATAAATGTAGTAAGCCAAGGTTCAGCCAGATTTAGAGCTACATCTCTAGCTGGAGGAAATTGAAAGACTTCTTTCAACTCTAACAGGCTTCCAGTGATTTTCATCAGCTGAAGACAGAAGCTGAATGACAATGAGTCATTGCCTGAGTTGCACACTGCACTATCCTGGAATTTTTTATTAGATGAAGCCCACCTTGACTGGACATACTAAAATGCTAAGAATGACAATGTTCTTGTAATATTTCAGAATGATCCTCCTTAATTTATCTCCATAAAGTGTTTCAACCACTGTCTAAAGCTATTGCCCAGACAACATTGACCTGGCTCAGAAGCACACTCTGGCAGTATCCTTTTAATTTATACCAACGAAAGCCATTAGCAATCATAATATCTATACCAGAGAACATTTTACATTTGTGAAAAAGGAATGACCAAGTGAAGTCTTATTCTGTTGTACATTTCCTTTCCTTTTCTAGATGTGATAGCATGTGGAACAGGAAAAAACTTGTGTTTAATTTTGCAAATCAGGCCTAAGGATGTCTGTCTAAAGAGAGGCTGTTAAATCTACATTTTGACACCTAAATAAATTACATGATTCAGAAACACTAAGACTCCAGCAACTCTGAAGGAAGAGGTAATTCATCTTTTAGATGAGAAGCAAATTAAGATCCTGATCGTTTACAATTGTTAATGATCCTGAGTACAGTTATGTTATTTACCTGTATGTTCTAACTAAATTCTGGTACCATTAATCTTTCTGGGTACTTTCTGCTTGTCTGAGTTTTCCTGGCAGTTTCAACTGAAAATATTACTCATCAGTTATGGCCTGATTTTGAAAATCTGATGTATGTATCCAAAGTACTCTCACCGATTTGGTTTTAAACTGTTGTCCTGGCTTTGCTGGGATAGAATCATAGAATCGATTTTCTGTTCAGAGAAGCTACATTTCTCAAGTAAGCTGCATTTTTAAAAAGACTGCAGCAGCCAATTCAGTGAGAACAAAATTTGTAAGACACTTTGTTTTAGTTTGTAGCTAGACGTGGTATGCAGGTATCTGTAATGCTTACGGACTTTTCAACTTGTCTTTTCCTAACAACCCAGATGTCCAAGAACCTGGAAGGAGTGTGGCCAGGGTGACTGATACTTAAACTGGTAAATGGGTATTCCATACCACGTAACGTCATGTTCACTATAAATTGAGAAGTTGTCTGGGGACGGGCTGCTGCCTTCTCTCTCTTGCTCTTCTTTCCTCAACGGTCACTGTCTCTGGAGGGTCTCGCCTGTCATTCTGCTCCTGATGCCTACTCTCCCTCCCTTCTGAGACTGAGGTTTCTGGACTTTCCTGTTCTGGGATTGTCAGCTGGGAATGGGCTGGACATTGGCCAAGGGGTGGTGAGCAGCTGCACTGTGCATCACTTGTCTGCATATATTATTATTTTTGTAATTATTATTTTTCTCTTTTATTTCAATTATTAAATACTTCTTGTCTCAACCCAGGGGTCTTCCTTCCTTTTCCCAATGCCCCTCTTCGAGTGGGGAGGGGTCATTGGGTAATAGAACAGCTGGCAATTGTTTAGCCCCAGATACAGGCTAAAGGTAGACAACTACTCATATGTCAAATGTTTACAAGCACATGCTTAGAGCATTAGAATCATAAACTTTTGTATAGTGTTACCACATGGTTCTAATTAAAAGCAGCTTTATATATAGGAAGTGGCTATAAAGTAATGGTAGACAATGTGATGGAGTACAATTGTAATCATCTGTTCTTCAATTATATGTAAAGCCCTATTATCTAAACAGGGTCATAGTCTTATGACATCTATTAATTAAAAAGATATTCCACAGATTACCTCAAATAATTATGTGTCTTCTATTACCCTGAAATAAAAGAGAGTGCCTTACAAGCAGTCATCTGGATTTCTTGGGCTGTGTACTGCTTGAGGTGCTAATAAGCATATGTGTATTGCTGAACAACACAGATATTTTCAGAAAGAAGTAGTCTTTATAATGAAGAGCAGTGTTTGAGTCGGTGGACAGTTTTCTTATTAAGGCAGGAAAAAGCTTTTAACAAAAATATAAGAGTCTTTTTCTCACATTCAAGCTACATTTTGTTGGACAAAACATGTATCATGACTGAGCTGTTATGAAGTTTTCTAGCTTTATTTTAAGACGCTTACTTCAACTATAACATCTTCTACTACTTATAGAAAGCTCACTTCCCTAAGCACTTCTGATCTCTGGCATTTTAAATAATTAAATCGTCTTGGTTATAGCGTAATTAAATTGTCTTGGATTTAATTAGATTCCCTTGAGGTTTGTTTTTTTAATTACTTCGCAACTTGAGGAAAGCCTCATAGTGAACATTCATCTGAAATCTCTGATGTGTTTAATAATATAAGGCAAAAAATATCCATCGAGGAAAATCTCATCAAGTTATATTTGCAGGCATTCTTCTGCCTTTCAGTAAGGTTAATATCAAGCAGCTTACCTTGTCATCCAATTTCCGCGCACTGAATGAAAGTTCAACGTAGTCGTCATTGCCAGACAACTCCTCAGCAATCACCTAAATAGAAAGCTACATTTGAGTTTTGCACGGTGTAATGAAAGTGGAGAAAGATGCCATTTTCCACTGTGAAGACTGTGGACCTTATTAGCAAACTGAAGTGTGGTACAAGTTAATCTGTTTCTCTTTGCAATCAGGGAGGGCTAAGAGTATTCAGTTAATCCCTTTGCTCAGTTGATGGGTGGCACTTTGTGAAGTCTACAAACCTGAATCACTTTGTATCATGCAACTATGCCTTGTGAATCACCTGTCAATGGACAGACCTCAACATCCATCAGGGATCCCTTTCCTCTGACCAAGTACTTTTCCTAAGACAGGACAATGGAGAATTCCACAGTCTCACAGTGTCCAAGGGGACAAAAAAGCTATACAAGAGTTGTATTATTTGAGTCTAAATCTTAGATTATTTTTATGCTGCTTCAGCATAATTTGGCAAGCTAAATGGAAAAAGAAGTGACGTCATCTGTCATTAGTTGCCATGAAAGGCACATTTACAGTAGGTGACTTCTGGGATAGTTTTTCTGCAGCAGCTACATTGGCAAAACCATTCATTTACTGTATGTAGACTGAGTCAGAAGAAAGTAACACTAAAATAATGTAGTGTGATTCTTCCATCTTCAGATGGTGTAAACTATGCTGATAATGATGCCTGTTACTGTGCTGTGCAATGTTGTTAGGAAAAAAACCAACAAAACCAATCAAAACAGCCTTCCCGACTAGGCCATTAAAATGCTTCAGTGGAGAGAAGGTATTAACCAAACGTGGGATATTTCATTGAAAAACGTTGTTTGAAACAAACCACATTATATTCTGTTTGACGGTTATAAAATCTTT